GGGATTCTATAGGGGTTATATGGGGGTCTTACACCCCATAGCGGAGATTCAAATGGAAAAGAAAATGGACCATGAAATGGAAACTAAGGTTATGGGGCCTCTCTCACTTGGCACTTCGTTCATCCTGTGGGCTCTAAACCCTAAGCCCTTAACCCTAAGACCTAAAACCCTAAACCCTAAAACTCCTAAAGCCTTGGACCCCTAAGCCCTAAGCCGCATGCATTCGCCTCCGCTGTCAAAGCCAAGGTGGTCGTCATCGAGCTCAGCCAGAAAATCGATCTCGCAGCACGAGGAGCGCTGAAGCTTAGGGATGTATAGGGATATTTAGGGATAATGGAAAAGAAAATACAGGCTACTATTTTGGGATTATATGGGTTGTTCCCAAAAGCTATGGGCCTCTTTGGTTTACAGGTTATATTACGGCACCTACTATTTTGGGGTACCAAAACGGGTCCCTAATTTTGGGAACTACCCATATGACTAACATGTATCAGCGTCCCAAAAATTCACGGTTTTGCACCTCGCCATCAATCTTCTGGGCCCCGAATGTGCCGGTGACGCTGAGGAGGAGTTCCGGGCTACGGTAGATGTTCATCAACTGCGAGACAAGACAACAGTGACACCGTTCAACTGATCGCTTTACCCCTCTTACTCATTACTCGACACAGCAAGGATTCCTGGTAGTACAGCTTGAACTCTGTCTTGAGGAGGTGTTGGATTCGCGCGATGTAAATGCCGTTGCAAAGATCCTGACCAACTCTAGCCCAAACTACATCACCCTTAATAATAGTAATAGTAATATCAACACAAATAAAAGTACTATTGTCATAATAGTACTATCAGTAATGATAGTAATAGTAAAAAATAGTAATAATCATCTCGTCTGCAGCTCGGCCAAAACTACGTCACCCTTGTCATAGTAATAATTGTAATAATGATAATAGTAATAATAGTAATAATCAGTATATTGGGGCTATATGGGACATATGTGATATGAGCTATTGTCTAAACTCCTGTTTGGGGGGTTATATAGGGGATTATATAGGGGACTACTATAGGGGCTATTAGGGGGGATACTAGGAGTTTAGACAATAATCCCTATAATCCCCTACATAACCCTATATATATATATATAGCAGTTTCCATT